GGGCAGCGACTGCGGGGAGGCCTGTGGAGTCGCCAGCCCCTAGGCCAGTCCTGCGTGGCCCTTAGGACGGCGCGGGCAGGGACTGCGGGGAGGCCCGTGGAGCCACCAGGCCTGCGTGGCCCTTAGGACGGCGTGGGCAGTGGCTGCGGGGAGGCCCGTGGAGCCGCCAGCCTCTAGGCCAGTCCTGTGAGGCCCTTAGGACGGCGCGGACAGCGGCTGTGGGGACGCCTGTGGAGCTGCCAGCCCCTAGGCCAGCCCTGYGTGGCCCTTAGGACAGCGCGGACAGCGGCTGCGGGGAGGCCTGTGGAGCCACCGGCGCCCCGTCCAGCCGCGCTCTGRCCACCAGCTGTGCCCGCGGAGCACCCGCCGGAGCCCCGCGCGGAGCCGCCGGCCCTGCCCGCGCTTCCTTGGGCATCGGCTGCCCTCCCTGGGAAAGCAGGGACCCCTCTCGCCCCCTGTGCCAGGGCTGCGTGGGGGAGATGGTGGGAGAGCTGTGGGCGCCTCGCTTATCTCTGCCCCGGCGCCGGGACATCCTTTCCTTTCTTCCTCCTCGCCAGCAGGTGGAGGAAGCACTGCTCTTCTCCAGCCATTCCTCCRGCAAGTTAATTATTTTGGGAATTGATGACAAGCTGCAGCCCAATATGAAAACCAGGCATGTGGTGCATATTTGTGCAGGCGTGTTATGGTTAGCGGTGCGTGTTATTTATCATTTTTTTTTTTTTTTTGTGGATGTGTGTGGAAATGCAGGTGGAAGGATATTGCCTGATGAAATTGGTTTCCAAATTAACATTTTTTTTTTTTGTTAAGGCCTTGGATCAACAGATCTCTTTTTGCATGCAATTCCAGTGAAAGTCTTCCCTTGGAAGTAACTCTGCTTTGTGATGATTTGGGAATTCCACATGGGGTTTTTGAAACTCTGAAGCACTAACAACATATATTAAAGGAAGCCTTTGCTTTGCATGTTGCATTTCCCCATATTTTGGCAAAACCGAAACACGAATGCCAGCAGTGACAGCTCTGCCGGGTCACGAATTAAGGCTTTTTTTTTTCTTCTTCTTTCTTTTCTTTCCTTGTGCCACGAAACCATTCGCTGTTTGGCAG